CTCTCAATATGGTCAAGTACTTGTTTGATGATCAGATACAAATGTCAATCATTTTAATGTTAAAAAATCATATTCCTGACATGGTTATATTCCAGCTATATTACTATAAACAAAACTATATATCTTAAATTTGATAACTAACGGGGACTGTGCCATGCATGGCTTGTTTTTTAAGTGAGTGACATAATTTTGGGTAGATACAATGCATAAGTGCCTGCTCTGTTCAACATCTGTTGTATCTTTGGGATCCATCTTCCATTGTCTTGTTATGTGAAACTTACAGAATTTAAAACAAAACTTACATCTGTTTTTTTTACACATGATTTAATTGATTCTCTGCTTTTGTAATATTTATTTAGTTAAACCTGCCCACATTGCTTTTGTTAGATTATACATTTTGTTTTCAGTATCAATTTTGTTATACTGTGGATTAGATTACCGATACATGTCAAGTGTTTGAGCGCAGTCACCCAATAAAGACGGTCCATTTTAGTGTGGCTATAGAACTGCATGTTTCACTGTAAACAAGCTGTGTTAAAAGTAGTTCTGTTGAGTGTTGACGTAAATGGGTGTAACTGAACAAGTTATCGTAAAAGCTGTTAGAATTCATGATCATGCTCAGTAACATTGAGCCTGTATATAAAGCTAGTAGTTGTCAGTGTTGGTTCTACCTACAATTTAATTCACTATTATACAGTCTGAAACAATTTATATTTATTAGGCCAGACTTTTTTTTTCCTTGTTTCTCGAGTTTTTATAAGGCAATTTTTTTGAGGAGGTTGGAAAAAAAATAAAATTAATTCTTTTTTTTCATTAGATTTGTGTGATTCTCAAAGAATTGTAAGTGAGATCATTGAGCAGAGAGAAGAAATGAAATAAAATGTTATTCCATGTATAACCTTGTTTCTCATCTGCGCCATTGTTACGTCTAGGGATTCTTTTTAACCCTTTGATTACCAAAGTCTACTTTTATCATCATTCCCAAACCCATATAATTTTTTCGTAAATTTTTCCCACATTTTAATCAAGACATGTAGCCAATAGAAAATTATGTCCATTTGATCCAAACAGGCAAAATGTTGCACAAAAATGTTGATGAAACAAATTATGATGCTTTAAGGGTTACCATGTTTATTTGAACTGACAATTACCTATGAATAATTGGTCAACAGATCTGAGCAGTACATACATGTATCGTGTATTGTTTTCTCACAGACCACAATAACCATTTGGCAAGAGTTCTTTTTGTAGCCCCAATTCCTAACCCTAACTCTAACACTGACTCACAGTTACCCAATTCATTTGTAAATGCCCCCTCTAGATAACTATAGATTTCCTTAGGAGGGGAATGTACAATTAATTGGGGAGTGCTGGAGGGTAGGGTTAGGATTAGGGATGGGGAGTACAAAAGGAATTTTTTCCAACCATTTGACTTTTCCAGTTAGATGGTTAAATTGCTTGAGAAACATTACATGAAATATTTTATCCTAGAAGATTATGGCTGCTTGTTAGATGAAACTTGGATGGCCACTAATTACCAGTATCAGAAACATTTACGACTGTAACTGTAATCACTGAGAAAACATTTCAGCCTAAGCTCATAGAGGCTTGAGGAACAGCAGCTACACTGGGCTGTAACTATGACAACTTGAATTGACCCTGAAGACTGCTTGAATAACATAACAATACCACAACCAAAATTAAGAACAGTTTCCACAAAACAAAACTTTTAAATGAATACCAACTGTAATCATTTTTTTGTCTAATCCAGAAAAATTTTAAATTTACAATTTTATTGAAAGATTACAGAGCAGCTGTTACAAGACATGTTTATTTTGACATTCTATTTATTTTATTTTATTTTATTTTATTTTATTTTATTTTATTTTATTTTATTTTATTTTATTTTATTTTATTTTATTTTATTTTATTTTATTTTATTTTATTTTATTTTATTTTATTTTTTTTTATTTTATTTTATTTTATTTTATTTTGTAACCTATAAATATATTTAGAGCAGAACTGTTTCTGCTTGCCCTGTTTCTTTTATGGACTGCCCTACATGTACATTATATGACATCATTAAAACTACCCGCAATACTTGATGATGTCACAAATACACACCTTTCAATGACTCACCCTTTTGTTTACTGACCCATGACCCCTGAAATCATTAGTGTGAACTAGGTAGATGTTGATAATCAGGCCTGAGATAAACACTGTATGTTCGGAGCATGGCATCAATTGGTACACAGACTGCTGATAGAAAGAGTTACGAATTGATACCCTTAGAGCCAACCCTTGATGTTGATATAGATGTGGAGGTCATTGAGGCAAGTTATTATTAGATGATACATGTAGTTTGTGTTTTAGTAGATTGTAGTGGAAGACACACCCTGGAACCATGTACATGTACAACACTCCCACACTGCATGTTTGCTGTTTCACTGTCCAAAACTTCCTCTTTTTGATGGAAACACACACCCTGATCCAAATTCTGTCACAAAATTCATCAGAAGTTGCCTTGAGTTCATCCTGTATATTTATAGCTCTATTGGGCTCGCTTCATCTTTAATAGCTCTGTGGGTTTTTATTTTAAATATTTAAGACTCTCCCCTATCACACCTATAATACTGATGTTTAAGTCAGAGTCAGTAAAAATAAAATATTCTGTGTTAATACCTAATCCAACTGATGTGACTCGATGTGCGGGGTTTACTAGGACCTGACTTCTATTTATAAACATATCATGGACAAAGGATATTCTTGCGATGTGCAAATTATGCTGATTGGAAGCTGTTCATTGTTCTGTGCAATGGTGTTTATGGTGATTCATCTCATTCAAAATTAAGCTTCCATTGAGGACATTGTGTCTTTTTTGGTCTAGTTTGCAGCCTGAAGTTTGATCTTTAAAAATTGCATGAATTTCAACAACATGTAGCACATGTATATGGACACCTATGTGTGCATGAGTCAGTACAGCATTAGCTTAAAGCCAGTTAAATGTTAAGTTCTGCTCAGACTGTACTATATAAGATGCATTGAGGAGGTGGCGATGGTAAAACTAGGTGCATACAATTAACACTATTCCAAGTATGTCAATGTCCGGTTGTTAGAGTTTATTGCCGTGATGTGGGAAGTGACCGAGACTGAACATAAAAAAAGTAAATTATTATCACAGTCATTACAAGTACAAAAATACCAAATACAGTGCTTCTATCAGTTTTGGACAATTTTGAGGTTTTTTTGAGCATGATTTGGAAATTTTTAATTGAATACATAAAATGTAAATTGCGTAAACAAATATGTAAATTTCAGTAACTAATATCTAAAAATAAAGTGGACTTCCTACATCCTGGATGAATTTGCAAGTTTTATTTTAATATATTAAGGATGTAGTAGAGGTTTTTTTCTTTTCTTTTGAAAATATCAAATTTACTTTTTTTATTCTCATTCTCTTGTAAGAATATATAAAGCATGCATTCAACTAGAAAAAACAATTGTAGCGATGGTTTAAGAGGGTAATACATTTTGAGTAAATCTGAGATACAGTGTGTTTTATGTTTTTTGCGATTTTTCACGCCAAAGAAAACATCGGTACTTGGGGTTAGTCTAGATAGTTGATCTCGACTCCCAGCTGCTTCACGATGGTGATTTTTGGCATAGGTATTCTCTGATAGCTGCTAATGAAATCTGGCAGAAATAGTTTGTCTCCCACTTTCACTTTAGAAAATACCACACAACTCTCCCGTTTGTGAACTCTGACACGGGGTGTCATATTTCAAAACAATGTGAATTCAAACCTTTTATAGCGTCTCTAAGTACCGCGAACATCATTTCTGTGGCCTTATTTCGTTTTCTTCGGAAATAAAACTTCTCTATTTGCACAATGATCAAATGATTGCACAGCTTCATTTTTTTGTTGGAATATTTATTTCATATTATTTGAAAAATAAGCTTTCTAAAAATATATAACGTGATGGGATTCAAAGAGTTTGTTACTTCAGAAATGTGCTATGCAACTGCAATAGCAAAGACCTCTACTACATCCTTAAGCACTTTTAACTATTAACAAATTTATATTCTTCCCAACATACCAATTTTGTAAATTTTCAGTGTTTAGGAATTCCCCAGTTACTTAATTCATACGAAACAGGTATTTTGTGCAAACATCCCTCCAATGTCCATGTATCGTTTAATTTTTTTAAGTGGATATTCTTTTATCAAAGTTGTTACTACTGCAGTATTGTCCTGAATCAGGATTGTCTATAAATATTATTATTAAATAATTTTGTTTGATATTTCATCTTGATGAAAATAGTAGTGTACATTATGTACTGTAAATATAAATGTTGTTACGGCAACAAACACAGCTTGACTATTCTATGGTGCATGCATAAAAGTGTTTCATTATTTTATTTAATGAAACAATTAATTAATTAATGAATTAATTTAAACAACACTTATTTTATGATAAATTATAACCTACATCATGTGTCAAAAGTATGTAAACATACTCCAAATTTCTCTATTTACTTTCATATAAGGCTCTTTAGGTTAGGAGTTTAAAAGCTTGCGTACTAAAAAATGTGTGTGAATGGCTTACTTAGACTAAGCACCCTCTTGGATGACCTGTGTCAATAGGATACCATTGTGTTTGTTGTCCATCTGAAAGATTTAATAGTATTACATTCATGACTATTCTTTTCCTACATGACATGTCATGAGTGCATCCAAGGACTTTGTTTTTAAAGAATAGAGTTAACTGACAATGAGATTCTGTAATACATATTTCCTGCACTTTTGGCATCTGCATTGTTATTGTTTTATAATAATAGGACTAAAAAGTATACTTCTCGGCTACTTAATATAATAAAAGTTAAAAAGACTGGAGATTTGTAAATTTTTTGAGTTTGGTCATCTTAGCCCATACTAAATGTAGATTCTTCCCATACACACCTGAGTCTAGGCCATACTGTGGAGCCTATCTTTAGTTCAACCCTTTAAATGGTTTTCGATATTTTTGACCAAATTTTCTAATTGGCTACAATTTTGATCAACATTTTGGAAAAAATATTAGTAAAATTATGTGTGTTTTATTTTGAGAACAGATGACTACATTTGAATCTGACGCTCAGAAAGTTAAGAAATCTATATAAATAAACCTGATAATGAGTTACATAAATAACACATAGCAATGTGTCTGACTTAAAACAAGTTTAGTTATCTTGATGGTAATCATTTACCCATCTAGATTTTTGTCATCACACCATGAACCACATGCTCAGCAAAGAATTCAATTAAATTGAGGTTTTTCATAGATTTGGTTATTGGCACTTTTCCGAGGAGGTGTATAAGACCCAATTTTTAGTCTCCATCGAATGCAAGTCAAAACAGGGAATTGTGATCTAGGTTCTGTTTATTAATGTCTCCTTTTGTTTGTCCAACTTAATTTTCTTTGCAGAGAAGAGGAAAGATTTTGTTCAAGTTTTGGTACAATACATGACATATGCACATCAAGTTGTTTATGTTACTCAGTTTTGTATTTGCAGTTTTGATTTTCTGTAAAATCTCCAAAATAAGACCAAAATAAACTTTAGAGTCAGGCAATAAAAATGGGCAGTAGGCTGGGTTATAGAAACCACATATTCTTTTTTTTTCTTGGCCTAATTAGAAGTACTCAGTAACATGCATGGAATCAGAGTGAACATTTAAATAATACATGTAACACATGTTTGTGAGGGTATTATCACGATTTGTTACCTGCCCAAGGGATGGTGTTCATGACCATAATATGACCAACAGCCCAAGGGCAGACAACAAATCGTCAGATTGCCCGAGTGACCATGTGTTATTTATTTTATCACATCGACCAGACATCCATCATAGACAATTACATCTACCATACATCAATCACACCCACTTGGCGGGCAAAATACCATGTAATATCCATTTTTATTCAATGTCATGTGACCGAGTCTCAACCAATCACGGCATGCGTAATAACAGTGAGATGTGATAAAGCATTATGGATGCCAACTTGTCATAGATAGTTCATCTGAATATACATTTACAGAACAGGATCTACCAAGGTTAATAGTGGTGAGACAGTGACTGGATAAAGAGATCTTGACAGGTGAGGATAACAGAGACTACATCTATGATGCTAACATTGATGTTTTTTTTGTAGACTGAAGAAGAACCCAAGACAAGAGATGTTGACACATTAAAGACATTATATTTTCGTGATGGTGTCCGAAGGATAGATTATGTATTGGTGTATGAATATGGTAAAAAGGAGAAAAATGCAGACGAAGGTGATGGAGAGAGTAAAAAGAAGGCAAAAAGAAAAGAATTTGAAGCAAATCTGAGAGATGAACATGGATTAGAACTAGAGTATGAAGATGAGAGGGTAAGTGGAATTGGAAACCAACTACATTTAGATGCACACTTTCTGGATTCATTGACTTGTCACAGACTTGTCACACAGACTTGTCACACAGACTTGTCACACAGACTTGTCACACAGACTTGTCACACATACTTGTCACACAGACTTGTCACACAGACTTGTCACACAGACTTGACACACTGACTTGTCACACTGAATTTTCACATTGACTTGTCAAATCGACTTGTCAAATCGACTTGACACATTGACTTGTCACGCAGACTTGACACATTGATTTGACACATTGACTTGTCACACAGACTTGTCACACAGACTTGTCACACAGACTTGTCACACAGACTTGTCGCACAGACTTGTCGCACAGACTTGTCGCACAGACTTGACACATTGACTTGTCACACAGACTTGACACATTGACTTGTTGCACTGACATGTTGCAGAAACTTGTCACATAGACTTGACACATAGACTTGACACATTGATTTGTTGCACTGACATGTCGCAGAAACTTGTCACAGAGACTTGTCACATTGACTTGTCACACTAACTTGACACATTGACTTGTCAGACTTGACACATTGACTTGCCTCACAGACTTGTCACACAGACTTGTCACACAGACTTGTCACACAGACTTGACACATTGACTTGTCACACTGACTTGTCACACTGACTTGTCACACAGATTTGACACGTTGACTTGTCACATTGACTTGTCAAATTGACTTGACACATTGACTTGTCACATTGACTTGACACATTGACTTGACAAATTGACTTGTCACACAGACTTGACACATTGACTTGTCACACTAACTTGACACATTGACTTGACACATTGACTTGTCACACATACTTGACGCATTGACTTGTCAGACTTGTCACAAACTTGTCACAGACTTGTCACAGACTTGTCACAGACTTGTCACAGACTTGACACATTGACTTGTCACACTAACTTGTCACACTAACTTGTCACACTAACTTATCACACAGACTTGTCACATTGACTGATCAAACAGACTTGTCACACAGACTTGTCACATTGACTTGTCACATTGACTTGTCTCACACAGTCACACACACTGTTCATACATACATGTGATCCAGATCTCAGTGTGCATCCATGGTAATCTTTAATATTTTGCTTGGTCATGTGTTTGCTGCTGGTGTTTATGTAATCAATATGGTTTGCAATGCTTAAATATGGTTGCTATTGGTGATTTAGAAAGGGAATTGTGGCCAACTTACTGTTTGGTATTATGGTGGTTGGGACAGGTGAAGGTTTTATATTTATTGATTATAGTATTGAAAATATTTTTTATTGGTGAAATGGGATGAATCTATTTACTGAACTCATCTACAAAGGCTTTCTTTCAACTTGTGTGCATGAGTGGAGGGGTCACCCTCTCTTTGTTGGTAAGTGGGAGTGAGGTTCTCTCCTAGTTGGAGGATGGGAGTGATCACCTCCCTTTACCTTTCCAACCTTTATATTTTTTTTATTGAAATTGAACTGAAATAAGTGTGTTTTTCTTAGAGGAACATTTTTGATTATAAAGTGATCTACATGTACCACTTCTTTTTGAATATTGAACAAAATAAAGTTTATTGTTAAAACTTGTGAAATATTGTTTAAAACACAGTTTCCTGCAAAGAGGCGTGATTGTTAAAATGTATTTCCTCCCCTACTGGGTCATACAGTCAATTGTATCTTCTCCCAGTGTATTGGTTACAACTATTAAAGTTTGGATGAAGCTGTTATTCTACTGCGGTTTTCATCTACTAATCTGTAAATCTTGTTAGTTGTCTACCAAACATCTGTAATTAAGGATTTATAAGATGTGGGGTGCAATGCAGCTGATGTTACTGTAAAATCTGTATTAGAAAACGTGACTTCTATTAAAATGATGCAATGCAACAGAGGGGATGGTGCTTCTGTTAGAGCATCTACACATGTTAAAAATGGTGAATATTTAGTTCCCAATTGTTCAAAAAGAATGGGTGCGGTTTCTAATACAGATTCTAAAGTACATGTTCATTGCAAGATGATTCTTAATTTCTAAAAAATACTTAAAGCTTTTGATAGAATAAACAATATAGATATTTTGTAGATCGAGAATGCTTTTTGCCAAATTTGGTTTATTTTTTACTTCAGTTATTTACTATGCTATGTGCTAATTTTCTGTCGTTAAATATGTTTGTCAGTATGCTTATTATAGGTAGAGGACGCCCTCACCTGTATATCAATATGCTTATTTTAGGTAGAGGGCGCCCTCACATGTATAAAGAAAAATATCATGTGTGCACTATCTATATTTTTTAGCGACTGCATGAAAATTGTTTATCTTACATGTTGTCATTTTGTCATGTATGACAGGTGTATACTGGGAATTCCTTCTTTCCTGGGCTTCTTCTAGCTCCACACCATGTGCCACTGACTGGGCTTCCACTAATTCTTCATCAATGAATAATGTTACCAAATCTTCGGCTGTAGCAACATTTAGCCTCACTTTGAAACCTGCCTTCAAACTAGTTTGAGAATTGGAGTGAAATAATGACTTTGTCTAAAAACTTTTTTTTTTTCGACAATGAATTGTAATGCATGTACTTTTATACCGAGGTGATTTAAATTGATACAATCAGCCCTTATAAATAAGAATGATTATAAACAAGTTTTTACAAACATCAAATGGAATGGATTTTGGAGGCTGTTATAAGTGTCTGTCCATTCCGTTTGTAGGTTTTGTGCATGTCCTGAGATTCTGTGAAGGATTGTATAAGTAAATACACAGCATATGGAATCTTTTATTAATAAGTAATTAATTTTTCTAACAATTTTCAATAATTTGTTCATCAAGTGGGTAAAAGATTTTGTTCATCATCTACATAGTTGATATAAGTTTATCATGTTTAATTCCTTATTTCTTTATTTTCTCTTAATGTAATTCTTTTCATGTCTTCCTATGTTTATCTCTGCATGATCTTTGGAATCACAGTTCCAGTCAGTAAGTAATTAACGTAACGTCAAAATTGAGGTCTCTCTACCAACCATGGATTCATTCACATTCTACAAATGTATCTATAAGGGTGATTCACAGCATTATGCCATTGGATGTGTCATGCTCAAAGATTTTCATTACATCATTGTTGTTCATTCTTAATACTTGCATTGAATGTAAAATGGCCACTTTTAAAACAAAAACCTGAAGAAATATAATCCAAATTTGATCGTTGGAATGTAGTCTTATATTGAAGGTAATTTCCTCGTGTAATAAAATCGAAACATACTTACCAGATTTACCCATATTTGATGTGGTGTGGGCTGTGGCATAAGGGTCCATTACAGTGAAACCCCACAAATAAGAACTACTTTTATTAATTAACATTTTTGTATCTAGTGATTTGTAACACATCACTTACTGAAAGACTTCATGAATAGCCAGAATAGATGGGAAACAATTACCTCGGCCGTTGATGTGTTAACCTTGGAGCAACAAACTTGCTAAGAACGTCAGTAAAAAAAAGTGGACAATCTAAACAAAGTGACAACCAAATTAAAGAAAGTTGACTCATTGTATTTTGTAGCGCCCAGCTACATGTACATTTTTTTTACAAAAATGGATTTAATGTTGAAAATTGCATGTAGAAGAGAAGAACAGGTTTCAATTATTTAGTTTAGGAAAAAAAAAGTGGCTCTTATTTGAGGGGTTTATGGGTATTATGTGTTCATTGAAAAATCCAAGGATATATGTCCTGTGTCAGTAATTTTACTTTGCAGTAATGTAATATGGCATCAATTTGTTGATAGTAACACTTTGATTGGCTGTACATATACATCTATGTTGAGAATACTACATTGTATGTTCTATCATGTACAATTGTGTACATATCAATCATGCAAAATATCATGGAGTAAACATAATGTACTGTTGATTTTTTTTCAATGTTTTCATACAGCCTAATGTAATGTGAATTTTCAAAGTGTTGCAAGTGACTGTTATCATTGAACCCTGCTTCTGGTGATCCACACAGTATTACATTTGAACAGGGTTGATATCACTTTCAAAGTGTATACGCTGGGAATAAATTCTGGAATCATGAAGTACCATAGAATGTAACCATAGCAACATCTACATAAATCTAAATTGTCTGATCTCTTTTTCCTAGATGAGTGCCGATGGTAAAACATGTTTCATTAAAGTTCATGCTCCATGGCAAAAGTTAACAGAAGTTGCTGAAGGCATGAAAGTTAAGATGCCTATACAGGTAAGTGCATTGTTAGTATTATTATAATTAGATTGGGTTTGATGGCAACCTGAATATATAGACTTTCATTGACAGTTTGATTTATAAACTGTCATTGACTGATATATAGACTTTTATTGACGGTCTAATATATTATATTTTTCATTGACTGATATATAGACTTCCATTGACAGTCTAATATATAAACTTTCATTGACTGATATATAGACTTCCATTGACAGTCTAATATATAAACTTTTATTGACTGATATTTAGACTTCCATTGACAGTCTAATATATAAACTTTCATTGACTGATATATAGACTTCCATTGACAGTCTAATATATAAACTTTTATTGACTGATATATAGACTTCCATTGACAGTCTAATATATAAACTTTTATTGACTGATATATAGACTTCCATTGACAGTCTAATATACAAACTTTTATTGACTAATATACAGACTTCCATTGACAGTCTAATATATAAACTTTCATTGACTGATATATAGACTTCCATTGACAGTCTAATATATACACTTTCATTAACTGATATCTAGACTACCATTGACAGTCTAATATATAAACTTTTATTGACTGATATACAGACTTCCATTGACAGTCTAATATATAAACTTGCATTGACTGATATATAGACTTGCATTGACAGTCTAATATATATATATTTCATTGACTGATATATAGACTTGCATTGACAGTCTAATATATATATATATTTTCATTGACTGATATACAGACTTCCATTGACAGTCTAATATATAAACTTTCATTGACTGATATATAGACTACCATTGACAGTCAAATATATAAACTTTCATTGACTGATATATAGACTTCCATTTACAGTCTTATATATAAACTTTCATTAACTGATATATAGACTACCATTGACAGCCTAATATATAAACTTTCATTGACTGATATATAGACTTCCATTGACAGTCTAATATATATATTTTTCATTGACTGATATATAAACTTTCATTGACTGATATATAGACTTCCATTGACAGTCTAATATATATATATATTTTTCATTGACAGTCTAATATATACATATATTTTTCATTGACTGATATATAGTCTTCCATTGACAGTCTAATATATATTTTTCATTGACTGATATACAGACTTCCATTGATAGTCTAATATATATATATATATATATATATATATATATATATCATTGACTGATATATAAACTTTCATTGACTGATATATAGACTTCCATGAACAGTCTAATATATATATTTTTCATTGACTGATATATAGACTTCCATTGACAGTCTAATATATAAACTTTTATTGACTGATATATAGACTTCCATTGACACTCTAATATACAAACTTTTATTGACTGTTATACAGACTTCCATGGACAGTCTAATATATATATTTTTCATTGACTGATATACAGACTTCCATTGACAGTCTAATATATAAACTTTTATTGACTGATATATAGACTTCCATTGACAGTCTAATATACAAACTTTTATTGACTGTTATACAGGCTTCCATTGACAGTCTAATATATATACTTTTATTGACTGATATATAGACTTCCATTGACAGTCTAATATATAAACTTTCATTGACTGATATATAGACTTCCATTTACAGTCTTATATATAAACTTTCATTAACTGATATATAGACTACCATTGACAGCCTAATATATAAACTTTCATTGACTGATATATAGACTTCCATTGACAGTCTAATATATATATTTTTCATTGACTGATATATAAACTTTCATTGACTGATATATAGACTTCCATTGACAGTCTAATATATATATATATTTTTCATTGACAGTCTAATATATACATATATTTTTCATTGACTGATATATAGTCTTCCATTGACAGTCTAATATATATTTTTCATTGACTGATATACAGACTTCCATTGATAGTCTAATATATATATATATATATATATATATATATATATATATATATATATTTCATTGACTGATATATAAACTTTCATTGACTGATATATAGACTTCCATGAACAGTCTAATATATATATTTTTCATTGACTGATATATAGACTTCCATTGACAGTCTAATATATATATTTTTCATTGACTGATATATAGACTTCCATTGAGTCTAATATACAAACTTTTATTGACTGATATATAGACTTCCATTGACAGTCTAATATATAAACTTTTATTGACTGATATACAGACTTCCATTGACAGTCTAATATATAAACTTTTATTGACTGATATATAGACTTCCATTGACAGTCTAATATACAAACTTTTATTGACTGTTATACAGACTTCCATGGACAGTCTAATATATATATTTTTCATTGACTGATATACAGACTTCCATTGACAGTCTAATATATAAACTTTCATTGACTGATATATAGACTTCCATTGACAGTCTAATATACAAACGTTTATTATCTGATATACAGACTTCCATTGACAGTCTAATATATAAACTTTTATTGACTGATATATAGACTTCCATTGACAGTCTAATATACAAACTTTTATTGACTGATATACAGACTTCCATTGACAGTCTAATATACAAACTTTTATTGACTGATATACAGACTTTCATTGACAGTCTAATATATAAACTTTCATTGACTGATATATAGACTTCCATTGACATTCTAATATACAAACTTTTATTATCTGATATACAGACTTCCATTGACAGTCTAATGTATAAACTTTTATTGACTGATATAGACTTCCATTGACAGTCTAATATACAAACTTTTATTGACTGATATACAGACTTCCATTGACAGTCTAATATACAAAATTTTATTGACTGATATACAGACTTCAATTGACAGTCTAATATATAAACTTTCATTGACTGATATATAGACTTCCATTGACAGTCTAATATATAAACTTTCATTGACTGATATATAGACTTCCATTGACAGTCTAATATATAAACTTTCATTGACTGATATATAGACTTCCATTGACAGTCTAATATATAAACTTTCATTGACTGATATATAGACTTCCATTGACAGTCTAATATAGAAACTTTTATTGACTGGTAGTTACATGTACATAGCTGAATTGTAAATAAAATGGTGCTCTGTAAATTTAAAAATAATTTGATATTGAAGGTAATTGTTTCATTCCTTCTAGGAGAATGACATTGAAAACAATGACATGGAGGAATGCTGTAGACGTATCCCTAACCCGTTTGAGTTGAGCAATGAGTTCATTCCTGAAGAGAAAGACGTTTTTACATGTGTGTTTGTTCAGTCCAGACAAACTGAGTGAGTACTCCTCGTATCCCATTATACCATATATGGTATGATGGGGATTGCCCTGAGCAACAGAAGGCAATATACCATATATGGTATGGTGGGCATTGCCCAGAGCAACATAATCAATTATACCATATATGGTATGGTGGGCATTGCCCAGAGCAACATAATCCATTATATCATATATGGTATGGTGGGCATTGCCCAGAGCAACATAATCAATTATACCATATATGGTATGGTGGGCATTGCCCAGAGCAACAGACCCCATTATACCATATATGGTATGGTGGGTATTGCCCTGAGCAACAGAACCCATTATCAGATTCCATAGAACATGTCACTGTATTTGCGTTGAATTCAATCTGTTTGTATTGCAGATACATTGGACATGAAGATCATGATAAGTTTTTTACACCAGCTGAAAGAAGTAGAATTGTAAGTGTCATCTCTTCCAATCTAAGCGCATCTCATAAAGTAGTGAATATAAACATTTTGCGTTTACTGAATAATTAAAGTACTGTAAAATAATTTATTTTCGCTGGAATTAATTTTCGCTGAAAAGACTTTTTGGGTGATATGGATGGATTTTATTTTCACTATTTCTGACGAGTTGAATGGGAAATACATATATAGGAGAAAAGGTATATTCCCTGGATTTTATTTTCACTGAATCATTCTTTCAGCGAAAATAGCGAAAATTTATTCCAAGCGAAAATAAAGTATTTCACAGTTTGACATTTCCTCCCTAGAATTACACATGTAATGTATATAATCCTGTACACTGTATCTATGTAGTAATTGTTAATAATCCCAGTGTTTGACCCTAAATTGAGCAGCTTGGAAATTTAATAAATTTACTATTTAAAATTAATAAATTGACATTCCTAATTTTTTTTCAGGTTTATGAAATACTGGAAAGGTGTAAATATGATGCAGAAAACAGTAAATTTGGTAAGTTTTGCGTCTTCTATGGTGTCTGTATAACTATGAATTGATATTGCCTGAGAGAATCAGTGATGTGTAATGCTGTGATACTGCTCAAATCCCTTATTATCATAATTGGGCATGCATGACATCTTCAGCCACAAGAATGAAACTTATTTTGACTGAACACAAGAAGACACATTGACACTGATTCATTTGATAAAAGGAAATCAGACACTGTCTATTAATTCATCTGTTTATCAGAGATTATGAGGTTATTACGAGGACACCTCAAAGTATGCATGGAGACAGTACAGCTGGAGTATCGACCGACGCGCAGTGGAGGTTGATGCATGGCGTACATACTTTGAGGTATCCTCAGAATAACCTTATTTTTATTCGTCTTTACCTCCCAAGAATACATCATGGGAATGCTAAAACCCCAAAAGTTTAGAACAAAATCAGCGAACTTCGTTGTGTGAAGTCCAGTCAAACCCTGGTGGCAGCCATGTTTGTTTTTATTATTAGAGAACGCTTAATATGCACGTAATCGTTCCATATTTGGAATTCGCATTTCCTTATATGGTAGGATGAAAATACTCAGTGCAATACCGCAAAATTACGGTACGCTGTAACTTATAGCATTATGGTGACAGATCTATAATAATATCTAATAATAACAACACACTAGAACTTGTATATCAAACAGTCCATATTAATTCATCTGTCTTTCAGAAATTGCTAAATATTCAAATTCATAATTGGTCTTAGTTACTTGTTATTACTTGTATTTATCAAGAATTAGTTCATCTGCAATGCCATGGAGGCCTCTACCATAAAGAAATAATCATAAACATTAATGGGATTTTATTGCATTGGATGTCTATGTTTTTGTTTGTAGGCATTGAGCATATGGTTGGTAATGGTTCGTATACAGCAGCGTTTCCGTTACATGAAGGAAACTACACAAGTGAACATTCCATGCTAACACATGGTGCAGAAAATGATAGAAGAGTAAGTAGATGCATGCTGGTAGAACAGTTATGTCTTGCATTCCTGGCCACAGTGATTGTTAGAAAACCAACAGGACAGCAAAACAATCTTAAACTTTGTACATTTGTATTCATGTTCTTACAAGAAATGAGTTTGTAAAATGCTCTTTGATTTGATAATTTTAGTACAATTGGTCAAGATGTGCAGAATGGCACAATACGTAACAAACTATATATACAAAGTCTGTAGGTATTGTCAAGGCAAAGTTAATAAAATAAAGTGTATATATTAGAAATAGCAAATACAAAATGTACTGCATTACTGGGAAATGTAAACAATGAGTAGTTGAATAAACACTTCTTATTAATATTTTTAACCAAAAGCAGAACCTCTTGGAAGTATCACATTCAACCAGACTTTCTCGTTCAAATTTTCTGTACTTTTTTCTTATATTCTTCAATATTTCTGGAAACCCTAATTTTGAAGTCAACTGACAAAATTTGATTTGATTTTCAGTTTTTACTTAAAAAATGTGGCTATTTTTGTCCCAATCCTCTGAAGGAAAGTGCAGACTATAAACAGGACTATTTTGTGAATTTGTGAAGACAAGACGGAACTGGTGGTGAAAAGATTAAAATAAAAAATGGATGACTGGCCTGCTAATGTCATGAATTGTGTTTATAGTAATATTGATAAATGTCTCTGTAGGATCTCTTAGATAATGTTGCAACTAGATAAGTTGTTTTCATCATGTACATGTTAGCATAACCCCCCACCCCCAAGAGTTCTCAAGTATCCTTTTCACCAAAATTCTCAATGGGCAATTTTGTAATGTAATTTTATGGTATGTTTTATTTTATTTACTAATTGTTATTTCTATATCCTAACGGTGAGTATTTGTGAGCACGCCAGACTTTTTTTTAAGCTTCATATAATTCTTGTTTTCAGTTACTCTATGAGGAATGGGCTAGACCTGGAAGATGGTATAAATATCAACCACTGGATCTTGTTAGGTAACTTGAAATAAAAATATATTTACTAAGGCCAGGAAAAAAAATTCTCTGTTTCTCGTTTCATAGAAATTTTGAAAGCGAGGCGATTTTTTTTTTTTTTTTTTTTTTGAATGCTGAGCTAAAATAGGAGAAATCTGAGACAAGTGCGAGTACAAGCGCATTTTGGAATGCTTTAGAAGGAAAAAACGTTCGAGGCGCATAGTTCAAAATGATGCGCACGGAAATGAGAAACAGAGATATTTTTTTTCTCAGCCTAACATTATAAGAGTGAATAACTGACAATTCCTGATGATACGCAAAACTTGATAACTTAGCGGTATCGGTTAGAGTTTTTATATTCTCA